TTTGAAGCCATAACTCAGATAAATGTTATCTTCTTGAAGTTCTCTAAAGGGATCAAAACCAGGCAGATTGGTGTGACCTCACTGACATGTTGCACTGGATTTCCAAAAATCTTTTGTCAGAGTCCCTAACCAAAAGCTTTTAAGGCAATTAAGCAGCCACTGAGTAAGAGTGAAAGTCTTTATATTGACAGTGAAAAGAGAGTAGGAATAAATTGTGAGTACCCGCAGTGGAGGTAAGTTATCAGTAGAGTTCTGTGGGGAACTATGCTGAGACCTCTGTTATTTTACAGCATTCATAAATGACCTGGCAAACAGTTAAGAACTGAGATGACAGTAAATGTAATTGTAACATAGTTATGTGGCACAGTATGGAATTCCAGAAGGACTTCATAAAATCAAGCAGTGATAAAACAGCAAATATCAAGGTAGATAAATATAAGGAAAAATAGGTTGCAATTCAGGACAGAGATCTTGATGTTATGACGGATAATTCCATGAATCCATTCCTGTTCAGTAGCAGTCAAAGAAGCAAATGAACACTGTGAATTACCAGAAAAGGATAAGGAATTAGCAGAAAACATTCATCCAGTGTAATCAGTGCATACTTCAATCATAGTTCTTGAACCTTAAACAGCAAAGAAACAACAGAGAAGGATTTTTTTTTCTTTTTGTCTCTCCTCTGCCTCTTCCAATATCAACAGAGAATCAAACGAGATGTACAGAAGTCAAGTTCAAAGCAAGAGTTCTTCAAGCAAGAAGAGGCAGAGTTGTGGAACTTGCTGCCAAAGGTGTTGAGGGTGCAAAGGGCTTTACACAGGTTGAGGGGTGCAATGGACAAGTACCTGAAACAGAGACTCACTCCAGGTTACCGAACAGGCATATTCTGAGCTGTAAGGAGTTGGAAACTGAAAGAGCACTAAAAGGAAATATTGCATATGGTTGCCCTTCTCTTCATTCAAGCAGGTCAATGCTGGCGTAGAAGAACCCTGACTCAATATGACTCTTCTATGCAAACATACATGTGCTCAAGATTTCAAAATGAAGGCAGAAAGAAACTATTTATCTTCAGTTATAAACTGATTTTTGTAGCCTCACTTTCACCTTTACTTCTCATATATGAACTTCCAATAAACCAGCTTTCTTTCTGAATAGAAAAAAAGTGTAACCAGGGAATATGCTTGAATTTTGAATTTTTCAATTCAGCCTGTAACTCAGCAGGTGGAAAGAAGTCACTTTGCACTTCATGTGGTACCCACCAGCATCCATTTCAGACAAGAGGGACTGAATAGAAGTCACAGCATGAAAAGTAGACAAAAGTGAATGTGATGGGGAAGAAAACAATAGCTCCTACCTGGACTGTTTAGACTGAAATGTCTGCATTCAGGAATATACTATAGTTTCTTGTTCTGCCCACTGCACTATCACCAGAGATACACAAGCTTATGCATAACTGCAGTGCAAAAAGTTCACTTGTGAACCAATGACTTTGATGGGGACCATATAATGGAACATTTCAGAATAAAAACATTGTAAAGAGGAGTCAAAGGAGATGCTACTGTAAAGTTACATGAGCACCTGAAGTACAGCCAATGACAGCTGATTTTATTTACTGGAGGAAAAGGAATCAGTTGGTTCAGAAAAAGGGATGTGGCTTTGTTTAAACACATAGAAAGGCTATTCTTTTACTATAATATTTCACTCTTTAGCTATTTAGAAAGAGAATGTCTTAAGAATGTCATCTACAAAAGCAGAAATACCTTTTCTACATAAGCAATTTGTTAGCCCAATTGTAATGCTCTTCCCAGAAGGAAAGGAAAGGCACGAATGAGGCTCGAATTCCTCAGTCTAAAACCAAGGTTGAACATTGTGTTTGACCCTGCCTAAATATTTCTGTTCCCAAACAGCAACCCTGCCATAAGAGAGATAATAGGTAGCCATGTAAGTGATAACTCTGTCAGAACTTGTTACCTATATCTTCATCTCAGGAAAGGAAATAGCTGGGGACTGTTCTCTGGTCCTGAGACCAGGTGGCAAGTACAGCCTACACTAGAGCTTAGTTCAGGTCTCCTCTGTGCTCCACAATGTCCCTGAAGCTCTAGGATGAGAATTCACTTTCATGTGTTGTCATGTCTCTCAAACCAGGACATGTGATTATTCCTAGTGTTTTGAAGTAAAACCATGGCTATTGTGTGACAGCCTGCAAGAGCATTACAGCCTGCAGCATCAAACACAGCTTATATTTCAAGTTCTAGGGTGCAGCAAAAGAGCATAGGGGGTACCCGAGGGTTAAAAATCCACTGGAAGAGATGTGGAGACATATGAAGGGTTGAAAGAGCCAAAACTGATTCAGCCTTGTTAATAGTGTTTTCTGGGAGCAGTATTCAGCACATGCAATCCCACAATCATACCTGGCATCTTAGAGAGCACCTATAACTAAGGGACAGTTGGAGTCCCTCACCAGCTTCATTTGCAAATTGGATGTAGCCACTGGTCTGCTCAGCATATGTCCTGTTATGGTCCTGGTATATTTTGTAGATATGCTCTGATTTGTGCTGGAGTTTCTCCTCACCAGACTACCAGAAATGAAGGCAAATAACACCTGATCATTTGACTGATGTCGCTCGATTGCCTGCTACTCTAAAATTCATGCCTAAAAGAAACTGATAATTTGAACTACAGACACGGCTGCATCTCGACATGTTCCTCCATCACCTGACTTCAAGATCGTTTTTGATGATCTTTCTCAGGCTAGTGGAAGGTCTAAGATCCCTCTGTTAAGCAAAGGTGAAATACAAATTGAATACATCATGCCCAGAGTATAAAGCTCTTTGTCTTTGTTCTGTGGTCTTTCTAATTCTCAGCCCGACTTACAAAACTAAGATGTGTAACGCTAGGGATCAGCCTAGAACTTTGGCCTGTTGTGCATTGTCTGTGAAATTCTTTTTTCCCTTTTACTATTTCTTAGTGCTGCAGCAGATGAATGAGTGGATGTATTATGTGCGTATATGTGTGTCTGTCATCCTCAGTGAGTGTGTCTGCTTCTGTCCTTGACTTACTTTTCTTCTTTCTTCATGTTTCTTTTTTCTTCCTTTTTACAATATCTCAGTTCTAGTCAGACCCTCTCTGTTCAACACTTCTTTTATTCCCAAAACACTCATAATGCTATTCAGAGAATATCTGTACAGAAGGAATAGACAGAATACAAACAGAGTGCTTACCACTGTGTAAATGATGTGCTCCCTGAGATATTTTCATGCACTGCACGCACTGTTGTCCTTCACTTAAATTATGAAATAAAAAGAAATTCATCTACCTTTCTTTTGAATTCTTGAAATAAGTTTGAGCAATTATCACTGTATATTTGTCTTGTTAGGTTGAAACCAGTAATAAAAAGGCTAGAAACAACAAAGACTTAGACTCAATAGCAAATACGAATGTGTCAGGTTCTTCAGGAGCTGACAAAAGAAGCATGCTTTTACAGAGAATAGGTTACCAAGTAGAAGCCATAAAATCTCCTAATTTAGCAGTGTGAACATTAAGATTCTTGAGAGTACATGAGGCACGTTCAAAAACATTTTGATTTTGGGTTTTATTATCAAGGATAACATCAGGTTAATCTCTCACTACCAAATCACCCAGGCCACAAATGCCCAGCTCCTGTTCTCACAGATGAGGTTTTGTGTGAGCCAATGAAAAAACTAGCATCTTTTTAAATGATTTTCCCTTCTGCACTGGCTCGAGGACAAGCATAAGGACTGCTTTGACTAACTGGTTGCAAAGCAACATAAGCATATGTGTTGGGAAGAAAGCCTCCCTCTCTCCTGATCCCTACCAGGCTTCAGTTCTGGGGATTTACTGACAGCATCACAGTATTTTTGAACTTTATAAACATATTTCCTACAGCAGTCTACAGATCTAGTGTGCACAGTAGGGTATAAATGCATGTTGTCCTTTAATTTGATAGATTGCCTGCCCCACTCCCAACTTCCAGTACAAGGAAGACATGGATAAACTTGGAGCAAGTTCAGTGCATGGTGACCATGACAGTCAGAGGTCAGAGTACTTGCTCTGGGGAGAGGCTGAGGGACCTGGGTTTGTTCAGCCTGGAGAATAGCAGACCCCCAGCTGTTACTGGGAGGTTGATGAGACAATAGATATAACTACACTGAAATAAGACAGATTCAAACTGGCTAACGACTTGACTGGATAAAGCCCTGAGCAACCTGGTCTGGCCTCATAACTGACCCTGCTTCGAGCAGGAGGTTGGTCTAGAAACCTCCTGAGGTTCCTTTCCACCTGAGCTATCCAATGATCCTATTTCCAGTACCTGCTGTTCAACAACATAGCTACTTCCCTCACAATTTGTAATAAGACAGATGAAGCAAAAGCTTCTTGTAAAGAACGTACTTAGCACAGTGAAGTAACAATTTTTTCACTTGCATATGGAAGGAAGACATCATCCCAAGAGCATCACTGTGACCAACAGCTCCTGAAGCAGCCTTCTCCTTTAGTGTAAAGAAACCTAGAAGTGCCCTAGCTCTTCTTGGCTGGAGGTCATACCACATTCTCAATATATGCTATTTGTCCCTGAGGTAGCACAGCCAGATGATTAGTTACCAAGCTACAGACTGTAGAAAAAGAGTCAAAGCTTCCTTTAAAGTGCAAAATTGTTCAAAATATTCAGTGGATGCACCATTCACTAACACAACACAAACACAAAATGCAGAAGACTATCTTTTTAACAGGATGATATCCTTTAGCCTTGAATCAGCCTGTCTATACAGCGCCCACGAAAACACACTGCATTGAGACAGCACAAACTGAAAGGAGATTATTTTATTTTTTTTATAATAATCTGTATGGAACCTCCAATGCCCCTGAAGAAACTTTCATGAACTGATTTCTGTTGTGTGGAATTTCCTTATCTGGTTAATGCAAAATCCTATAAATACTTTTTCTTCATCCCAAGTCTACAAATTAAAAATATACCATTAAGTTACCTGTTACCATGAACATGAGAAGCACAAAATGCAAAACTGTAGTGGAGCAAGGTTGGATCAATGACAGAACCATTTTCTGAATGTTCAATCAATTCATTGAGATAGCAAAGGTGGCGGTGACAGCCTCTCACTCCATAGCGAGCACAGTATTCGTCTAATACGAAGACCTGACCTGGGCTAAACCAACCCTGAAAGAGAATGACAAAAAAACCCACAACATTTTGAGATTTCGTTTCCCACTCATAGCTTTTAAATCAAACTAAGAACAGAAACATATGTTTCTATGTGCATTACATAAACTTGTTTATACTAGGATGATCAATATTTGACTAATGCTGACGGCACTGGAAGCTAGACCCAGCAACAGCCCTCTTGCTGAAAGGAGTAAATGTCAGGAAACTATTTGCAGTTCTGATTTACCACTACTATAAAATATATGGTTTACAAAAACATGCTACTGCATCCAAAGTCTGGTACAGATTCAATTATAATAAAACCTAATATAAAATAAAATAACACTTTATTAAAGTAATTAATTGTAAGTTATGAGAGAACATTTGGGTAATGCTGAGGGACATTAACAAGGACCATTAAAACACAGTTTCTGGATAGTCACTTCCCTGTGGCTGCAACTTTAATGTGAGAGAACCACAATTTTACCATTTACTCTGTTTCTTATGTAACATGCGCGCAATTTTAATCACTTTTTAACAACTTATACTAGTAAAGAGATACAAAGGTAGGTAGTTTGTTAAAAGTCACCTGAATGAGTACGATTTGACCTTAAATAATAATGAGATATTTTGGTGAATAATGAGGGCTTACTTGGGCACAGTCTTGATGAGGCCAGAACAGCATAACCCTACACAGGGTCACGAACAAAGTTGAGATGCCTTTCCAACACAAAACCAGTTCTTGAGTGAATCCAGAATATAAAAAAATAATTGATTCTTAATGTGAAAATGTAAACCAGAAAAGTCTTGATTGCTTTTCTTGCCAGTGAGCACACTGAGCTTCCAAAAAGCAGTAGGGAGAAAAACATAAGCCTTGGAAAACCACACCTATTGCATAACTGTTCTAAATAAGCATTTTTCCTCTGTTCTTTTCTTAATTGTGATGATACTTCCCTCTCATCATCCCTGTCAAATGGTTAAGAGAGACTGAGGAACACTTGAACTAAAAAAAAAATAACTTGGATAAGCAAAATGATTTTGCAAGTCATGAATTTCTAACATCAGTTTCGCAGCTGAAGACCAATATTTCACTATTGTTTGTAAATACTTCTGCAAACTCAAATGTTTAATATTTATACAATGTATCAGTCAAAACACTATTAAACAATACTTAAAAATATATTCACATCCACTTTAAATCATCTGTGTTTTAACTTTACCAAAAGACTTGCACAAGACAGGAATTTAAATTTTATGTTCTCCTTCAGATCTCGAATTTAACATATTATTTGAAAACAAGAACACCTCAAAGTTATTTCACAAATTTATTTGCTCCTGATTCCTTTCTTTGAAGTCAATGTTTCCACTGCCTTTAAAGAGCTTCAGCTGTTTCTAGAGAACACTTAGCTTTATTACAGCACCCAGAACAGTGCTCAGTGTTCTAAAATAATATCCAGTCATGTTGCAATGGTTCACATAATTTACACAATGTTTACTAGAAAATATGGTATTCCATTGAATGAAAAAAAAAAAGGATTTTAACTGAATTTCTGCAATAATATGTATCCTCTGCCTAGAGACAATAAACAGTGGTTAGTGTGATTGATATTCTGCCAATATGTTGTCATTGTCACTGACGTCTCCATTTAATGGAAAACTTGACAAAATGCTGCGTGTCAATGTCTAGCAGTACAGTAGGAAATAATTATTAAAAGTTCTGTATGTTCTCATAGGAGAAAATTCTGACCAGAATATAAATTTTTAAAGAATTAATTACTTTGATTTTAGTCTCTGTAAGAGATCTGTTTTAGTGTGATCCTTTTCATATAAATATGTGCCTTCCTTGCCCTTGTGCAACCCTATACCATGCACAAGTCTCACAAATACATAGCAACTATATGCTACAGAGTATTAGATAACTGCATTTTTAATTATATAATTAAAAAAACCAACCAAACAAACAAACAGAAAGAGAAGCTCCCTTATACCAAGAATGCAAAATTAAAGAAGTCTAGGTCATACACTAATTTAATACAGAACTGTGCTTAATATCAATTCCTACACATTTTTGTTTTTATTTTTACAAGTTGTATATGTGGCTACAATATATATGTTGAAATAAAGGGATGTATTTTTTTTCTAAAAATGATAGGAAAAGAGCTGCTCAGGAAAAAAATCACCCTTATATGTTCCTGTATTCTATTGCTACCTTGACATTCCCAATTTTTTTAGTTAAAAATACAGTTAAATATGCAATTTAACAAAAAATTATCACCCATTCTACTTATTAAAAGCTGCATTTTAAAAAGAAGAATAAGAAATGCATCTGCTTTATGGTTGCTATAGCACTGAGTATTTCACCTAACCTCTTCTAAAAGTTCCTGATTTCAAGGTTATATTAAGTGTCTTACTATATTATTATTATAAAAAAAGATTTTGACCCCAATGCACTGTTAGACAGCTAACCATTTTCTCTTTGAGTGCCAATTACTTTGTACAGATGTACCTTCGGGCCTCTTCTTTGATTCAGTGTGCACCCCACAGACAGAAAATGAGTCTTTTAACTTTTTCTATACATACTTATACGGTAGCATTTTAAAAAGGAAGCAACTCTCATCAAATATTTTTTTTTTCTTTTTTACACTTGCAAAATAACCTAAAAAATCCATCATTATCTTTTTATTACATGACTAGTCACATCAATGGAAAAAAGACATAAAATATAGTTACTGGGTTTTGTTGCTATTAGGACAGTAAAGGGAAAAAAAAAAAAGTGAAAAAAATTATGTGCTATGAGGCATTTTAGGTTCTTAGTGAGAGATCACTATTTCCGGCATGGTATCAAGTCAAAAATAGAGTCTCAGGAAGTTATGAGGTCTGACCCACACAAACCTGTTTAACAAGGGTGTATAATCTGATGGACTTCCACAAGATTGTTGCTGGTTTTCCCTACTGAAAATAAAACCAGAAGCAGCCTGATCCACAACTCCTAACCCCACAAAGCATAGAATAAACAGTGTTATGTAGAAAAGGGAAACTGCAGCTACAAATATGGAAGCATGTCATGCTAATATCTTAACTTTTCTAGCTGTCTTTGAATGTGAAAAACATCCCACTTTCCTTGCTTTTGTGTAATCATTATACTCCTATTTGGTTTTTGCAATTCAGGTAATACATATATGCCTGTGTATTTATTTTGCCTGTGGTTCTCCTTCCCTTCTTTTGGCATTTTTCCTTCTTCACATCACAGTGGAATGAAGGATTACAAGATAGGTGAAAATGTTTGACACGAGGTGATTGCATTTGTACCTTAAAATGCCTGTACATGTGTCGGTAAATCCTACCACAGGAGCTCTTACCATTATCAAAACCTTCTGTTTTTATTTAAACCTCCATAGAGGACGTGATGAATTTCAGCTGATAAAATCAGGGACAGTTTGTGTCTCTTTGCTTTCTATTGAGTGGCACAGCAGCAGCTTGCAAGTGTATAATTTTCAAATTTGAAACCTATCGATTGGACCCTTTATTCCAACTACAACTGCAGCTATTGAATGAACTAGAAAGAAAGGACTACTTTGTAACAACTATTTCTTACTTCTTTATATCTATCTTCCAGTCAGTACTCACCAAACAAGAATAGGAGTCATTCAATCTGTGATCCAAGGTCTGCCTCTGAAGCAGTCTAAAGAGGGAAGCGTGGTCAAATTTGCAGGGATTAGCAGAAATAAACTCATCCATGCCATGTTTCTGACCACGGTCTGTATCTGTTCATACAAAGGAAAAATGTGCAGAACAATACACGTGAGTGTGTGTGCAGATTTACAAACACAAGTGTACACATGGTACACATAAATACTAAAAAATATTCAAAGAAACAAGCTACATAAGTAGATGCAGGTGACATTGTTGAATATTGTTTTTTAATCTGGATATAATATTATTTTTCTATGATAACAATCTATGGAGTGTAATTGTGAAAAAAAATACAGTTTCTACCCACTGACAGATCAAACAAAACAATTTAGAAAGCCTACCTGAAAACACAACATAGCATATTAAAATAATTCTTAAGTGATGGTTTTCTAGTGGAGCTCTAAAAATTTTACAATTTACAAAGCAATGTTATCAGTAGGAAAAACATGTGTTCTATAATTTCCTGGTTTTGTGTGGTGCTCTTTCCAATTTTAGCAAATTAACCAAATAAATACCTTTCCCTCCATTGTAAAAAGAAAAGGTTTATGCATTCATTTCTTCAGATAAGAAAGAGCATCTTTACTGCAGATCAAAGTACCACTCATAGAAATATTCATCATGGCTTGAAGCCTACTTCTCAAATGGCAAACTGGAGCAGAAATGAACACACTGGCTTGAGCTAGGTCATTTCCAGCCTTCTTTTTGTACTCAGCTTTTAATGAGACGAACCTTAATGTAGTAATGGCAAAGAGCTCCTTCAACCTTCCAGCAAAGAGTAGTGAAAAAGGGAGCAGCATTTTTGTGTAAATACATCGAGAAAACATACCATCCCAAATGGCACTTCAATCAAAGGCCCAAATTTATTGTTCTTCACAGACTGCATCTTTCAACGCCTTTAAACCCCGCGGGTTTATCAAAAGAGAAGCTCTAGTGATTGCTTTCATTAATGCTATGTTTTGTCAAAATCCTCAATGTGAATTATCTAGCAAGTATGGACAGAAAAAGCCTTACAGTGCCCAAAAGGACTAGTTATGTATTAGCACATTAGCTGCCTTGGATTCTATAGACTGTACTGGGGTGAACAGTCCTATCAACTTAAAAATTGACTTCCCCTTTCAATAGGGTCTTAGCTCTTTGTTCCTTTAAATTCAAACCCAGGTCTATTTATATTCGTTACTAGAAAAGTATAGATCTAAGTGTATCCTAAATGCAATTTTGAAAACCTGCATAGTACAAACCTAAAATTTCTAAAGAAAAGGAGACAAAAGTTTATTGATTAAACCCAATTATAGAGTCAGGTTCATAATAAAACTCAATATTGATCCGTGGGCATGATGCTAACATAATCAGTCACATTTGGAAATTTAGCCCCAGATCATATTGATCCATGTCAAGTCCAACTTTCAGCTGTATTTGTGGATGGGAGAATTATTTAATTCAAGCTGAAGGATCTGCAGCATCACATCCTGGAAAGATGCAGAAACTAATTCATATCACTTGGCTTTGCATTGTCAAAGCAAGAGTCACATCCATGTGACAGATTTCAGCAAGGTGGATGTAGCAAATAAATAGTATGACAATACATCGATGGTGGAAGGTATGAGACCATCATCCCAGAGAAACAGCAGCATATATTTTTAATGGTTTAAGGATCAGTAGCATATATGATTACATAGATTAACAATATTTCCATGAGCATTAGACTAGCCTATCATTAATGACAAACTTAGCAAACTTAGCTCATATTATTGACATAGGTGCATGAAATGCTTTCTCTTAAATGTTTTTAAACACATAAAATCAAAGATAAACACTGATACCAACACAACTACATAACCAAAAGTATGTAACTACAATGCGAAGTTATCTATAGTTTCCAAAATGATCCACACACAGACAAAAGTTTTCCAAACCCAATCTGTTTAATGTGTAAGTGACTGGTTTCTATATTTCTTGTAAGTTTTCCTTCTGATACGGATATCATATTTACTGAGTCATTATTTAAAGTAAGACAGATTGCAGAAAAAATAAAGGATTAACATTTCTTTCTGCCATTGGTCTCAGGTACAAATTACACACAACTGAATCTTTCTTAACTTAGCTGTTTGATTTTTTTTCTCTGGTTAACTACATAAATATAAAATATTCTCCTTTTTTAAAAGGAAAACCTGTGTAAGTACCGATAAGTAATTAAGTATTTTGAAATCAGGAGACTGGATGTTGCAAAGGAAGCGTTCAACGTTCTGACAGAGTCATATAGTTGATCACTATGTGTAAGGTGACCCATTGAATACAATGCAGGCTGTGAAAGCAGAATCTGTTAGTACAAAATTCAGGCAAAATAAGAAAAAGATAATTTAAATATATATATATACTTCCTAGATATAATTCTACAGAAAGATTCATGACTGATCACCATCTTTTTAAGTGAATAAAACAGGACAAATAACATTGTCAAAGAGTAACAGAAGATCTGCTACCAAATATTTTCTAACAACAGAAAAACAGCCAAAAACTTACCTTTGCCAGCTGTAGGCAAGCAGGAAATAATAGAAAATAGATCTAGTGTAATACATTACATTTTATTTTATTTTACTGTTATGATATACATACAAGACAACTTGTAAATCTTTTTGAAACAAAATGGATTAAAAAATAGAAGAACTTGATCAAAGATTATGAGGAATTCACAACTGTTACATGACTGGAATTTAAAAATTATTTAACACCCTAATTTGGAAAAATTGTTAAAGTGATTGTATTTTCAACACAAATCAGCTTTAGATGTCCTGTTCAAGCTCCAGGTATATGCAAAAGACATAAAGAGTGCTATACTGGGATATACAGTTAGGAAAAAATACAATTCCATTTTCTCAATCTTGGGAAATACTGGGAAGATGTCTGGGGAGAACTTTGAAGCAGTAATAGTCTTCCTGTTTTTTTACAATTAATTTTCTTCCCTTCTTAAGGGAATTTGATGTCCTGCTCTCAAGTTGCCTCTAACTCAAACTCATTATTTTTGCTCGTATTTCTGTGTTATGCTATTTCAGGTTGTGCGTTTATTTCATCTTCTGGAAACTGTTAGCCAAAAAATTATCTATTTTTTTTTTGATCGAGGTAGGACAAACATATATATTTTAAAAACTTACAAAAGCTATTACAGGAGTTTTAGAAAATTCGTTGGGTGCTCTTTTAGACAAGGATATTCACTTTGGCAGAACGGCATCCTGAATATGCTTTTTGCCATCTTTGCAAGAAACTCCCAGTTTCAGCCCAGCTGCAAAGGCTATAAAAATAATCCCCTCCTCAGTGACTCAGTAGAGTTGGGTGGATTAAGACTACCAAGAATTTCATGTTTATGGCATATGCTCACATGGTTCCTAGTGATAACCAAATCACTAGGCATCATCTTTGTCCCATTCCAGCCCAAAAGCAAATACAAGTTTTCTGCAGCATTTACTCTGTGCTTGGGTGAGCTACAGGAACTGGCCTTGTAAAGTGGTGACCTCCTCCCTTTCGCGGCTCTCAGTGACATGCCTGCTTGACTCTAAGCATCGTGGAATCAATTTGAACTAACTCAGGCAGGCAGGAAAGAAGAGCAGGCAGAGACAAGAAATCCAGTACTGTAGGGATTAAACAGCTTTAGAGACTGGGAGTAGTAGGGTAAGAACTATGATACAGAAGAGGCTGGAGCCAGTTGGATGAAGAAGAAGGTGCACGTGCTCTTTGCAAAAGACAGTGGCAAGACATGCATTACATTCCTTCAAGTGCCACTCCATACAGATTGTGACAGCTTGCATCGGGAACATTTCGACTCCTGATCATTTGCCAGGACTCCGAAGTCCTACATGCTTAGAAACACTGACCAAAGAGACAATCTACACCCCTAGAACCTTATCATTTAAATATCAGACAGTCAAATAACAGATAGAGAAAAAGTGGCAGACTATGAAAAAGCTGCTGTCCCATACAGCCTGACCATCAGGCCGGGGAGGGACTGCCAGAGTTCTGCCGATGGACAGATTTGAAGAGGAGATTAGTTAGTTTTTTCATGTTTCTTAGTAGCACGGCAGAGAGCATAAAGGTGAGTTACTGACTGCCTAAGGTGGTGGAGGCCAGTGTTAACGTTCTCTTTCTAAAATGGAGATGGGGGTAGCTGGAGGCAAGCATGAATGGGACATGAAGGGGAATGAGGGGAAGAAGGGTGGAGTTACTCTACTCTTCCAGGCAGCAAAGTGCATGATGGATATAAAGCTGCCAAACCTGCTGAGAAAACTATGTCAAATGAAAAAATATTGTTTATTTTTGTTTGTTTCTAAAATATTTAATTATTTGAACATACAGATACAAACATCTCAGAACTATTTTAAAAGAGCTGCTTTATATGAACATTACCAATTATTCCAAAACTGAGCAATGCCACCATAAGGTTAAGCAGTAGTATTTCTTCTGTATATGTATTGTCACACCAGTATCTTAATCTTATTCTGGTTTTCCCACAGAGTCTCTGATCAAGCCAGTTCAAAGACCAACAGTGATACAAATAACATTTAAAAGAAATATGAAATTCATAATTTATTTGCATAGCATTAAACTACGATAGGGAGAGAAATGCTACAGTGCTTATCACTGGTATATCCAAATAGATTGAAAATGTTAATGCTATTTTTTCATGACTAATCCCAAAGAATTTCTTCATTTGGCAAGTTGCCTGCACTTCCTTCTTGATTACACAACTCTGCTCCACTCGGTTGATTCAAGCGTCTACACAAGCTTCCTCTATGATGCTCTTTTGGTCAGATGGATGTTTAATTTGGAAACGTCTTCAATTTTGCTGTCATTGGACTGATGGCTTGTAATACCAATATATGGCTTATGTATTTGCCTCCTTTTGCTACTCCCTTGCTTAATAAACAAGATTTGATGTCTTGTGCATGGGCTCTAAAGAGCATTTTTATGACAAGTGTTATAATTGGTCCGTGCAAAATCCTAAATCATTTTCCTTTCGTGAGCTTTTTTAGTAAGTGATATCATTCCAAAATAGAGGTGAGGAAAATGATACATTTCAGATCAAATGATTCCTAACCCCATTTGGTTTTCCAGTATCTGTCTCTCTCCCTTCTTATCTGCAGATATTTTTAAAAAAGAGACCAGCTCTGAACTCATGGTGGTGTAGGACCAGGATGATATTTGGTTTTGTGCTGCCAATCCCCTCATGTGCTGCTTTTACTCCTTTGTTCTGATCAAGTTATTAACAGTGGTCATCACTTCAGCAGCCTTTCCAACTGTATGACCAGAAAGCTTAATATACTGCTCATTAAGAAAGGAATTGTCTCCTGCACCTTTATGTGACTCAGATGAATCTGTTTTTAATTGGCCCTTTCCCTGAAACATTCATGTCCTTGGGAAACTTCTGGCTTTTCTACAATCACGCATCCTTAGATACTCTGTCCTTTACATTACAGTATGTTTATTCAGAACACTGGAAGTGAAAAGCTGCCTCTCTTTCTTGACCCTTGCTGACATCAGCCTCTCTTCACTTTTGTTTTGGAGCCACCTTATACTACAAAAGCGCAGTACCACGCTGCTTTACACAGAAATGAAGAAATTGGCGAGTATTCACTTCAGAAGCTGGACAGGTACAATAATAGTAGTTTGATCCCAGTGCCACACATAAATGTCTATTTGCCTCATTGGTAGTATTGAATATCAAGTTTCTTATAAATTACATGAATGATCCTAAAGTGCTGTACAGCATCAACAAGAAGAGACCACACGTTCAGATCAGTTAGAGCTCTGTGGGTTGGCCTTTTGGAGTGCTGCCGCTGAGCACACGCAAGAGAAACATTTCCATTTTCTGCATAAAGATTAGTCAGACCCTGGCTGTCTTAACGACAATCACATTTACTTTCTCTTCAGGAGTTCCTGATGTGTTTGTTTTGATCCAGCTCTGAGATGGCTGCATCTTGCTCATGTCATTTTAAGCATTCTTTTGTACAAGGAATTATCTTATGTGGAACAAGGCACCGATAACTGCAAAAAATATGATCTTTTTTATGCAAAAGGAGTCTCTTACTCCTTCCTTTCTTCCTTTCTTCCTTTTTTATGCAAAAGGAGTCTCTTACTCCTTCCTTTCTTCCTTTCTTTTATATGAAAGGAGTTCATGATATAGATTACAGGAATAATTGCACCACAGTTTATTAAACCTCTTAAATTTGAACTTGAGATTGTAGAAAACAGCAGGGACTGTGAAAACAAAGCCTCATTTATTGACACTTATGCATATCACTCAATTAAAAATGGTAAAAGTTTAATGAAAATCTTGCACTTTGACAAGTTGTCATTTTCAGCAAATAATGTAACATTAACTTTGAAAGGTAGAATTTTGTCTAGAAGGCAATGGAAAATTGAAATGTTGGTATTTACTACTAGCAAAAAATTAACCTTAATACAGCTAGGTATGTGGCATATTAATCATCATCTGATGTTTTAATTTCTTTAATGACAGTTTTCCATTGTTTTTTTTGTCTATCAAGACAATTTCAGGACTACACAAGGTATTTTATAAACACGATATATAAAAATGTTGAAACACGTCTCCTTACGTTGATTTTTCTCTACATCCTGCAGTTTAAAGATATTTAGATTTTTTTCAAGCTATTGAAAGTTCTTGCTGTACATTTTATCAGGATGAATGAGTCGCATTTCTTTTCTTCCTAGAGGCTGAGGAAGATGGGGACAGACTTTCAAAGCTTGAAGGTTATTAAATAACATTTGTTTTGCAAAGCCCTAGTTGCTTTTCTGCTTTCTGTATGTGGAGGGTAGTTGTATGATATACTTTAAAAACTAAATCAATGTGATCTTGTGTTGGCTGGAAATGCTTACGTGATGTGTTAATTGAAAAATAAGGTAAATAAAAAGCAGTTGACAGATTCTCTGGTCATAACTGTATTTCCCATTAATAAAAATGTATCAGAGTAAAGACGAAAAAAGTGGAAATTCATTTCACGTAATATGTACACTAGCTCTCAAGTACTCGGTGTTATATCTTGATTAAAAATAAAATACTCTTCATTAAAACATTTTTCTATGGGAAAAAAAGATGAATTTCTTAGGAAATAACATATTTAAATCTGACAAAAGGTCAGCTATAGATTCTTCTTAGGAGTAAAACATTGCTCCAAGAAAATCAGCACAGTATATGCAAATGAAGAAGAAGTCTTAAAAATTATTTAAGGTTATACCTGTAAAACCTAGTTATTGCAGTTTCTTAAAAACTGACTAATTTGATTATGACCATTTCTACCTCATGTGCAAAAGACAGAATAACAAAATCTTGCTCATATAGGCAGAACTGGAGGTATTACAGAAATCAGTCAAACCTTGATTCTTTTAAGACAAAATCTCACATTAAGTTAAATTTCACAAGTTACTCTATTGCAAAGAATTCTTTGAACTAATTACAAAATACTAACATTAAAGTATATTAAAACCAAAGGCAGTTAATTTAACAACAAATTTTTGATTTA